AGAGAGAGAGAGAGAGAGAGAGAGAGAGAGAGAGAGAGAGAGAGAGAGAGAGAGAGAGAGAGAGAGAGAGAGAGAGAGAGAGAGAAATATTGTGTAGAAGGGTAATAAATTGCCTATTCGTTTAGTGGGATAGTAATAACGAAATAGCGAGTATCCGAGAACAACAGAGAAGTCGTCTAGTCAGTCAGGAAGCATTTTTTAGATCATGGGGGGCGGAAACGCGCTGAAGGCCAAGACAGCGAGAGAGAGGAAAATGGCTCATCAGAGTCCCATGGCGAGCAGCAAAGGTTCACAACTTGCGACAAACACGGCTTCTTTATCTTGACAGTGCAAAGCGTGCATGCAGACGTTCGTCTGTACGACAAGCGAAGCAAAATGCAAGGAGGATGCGGATGCCAAGCATCCCAAGCTCGACTTACGCCAGTGTTTTCCTCATCTCCAGAACTGAGTTATTTAACTCCACAATTTTGACGATGGCGGATGTGAGGAGGTCTAGGCGGAGTCTAGCCCTCGATTGAACAAGGAATGTGTGTGTGTGTGTGTGTGTGTGTGTGTGTGAGAGAGAGAGAGAGAGAGAGAGAGAGAGAGAGAGGGAGGGAGAGAGAGGAAAATCATGGCGGCTGACGTCGAGTTATGGAAAGCGATGAGGTTGCCGCGTGTGGAAAGACGGTAGTGGAGTAGAGGTGTTTTAGGAAATGGGAACGGAAAAAGTAGACGGGTGATGGTCCTGGGTGGTCCCCACTAAGGTAGGACAGAGGGGGTGGGGGTGCGCCGGGGTAATTGATCAGGGGAAAGCAAATAACTAATCATAAAAGTAGTGATCAGCCATCATAACCGTTCGTATAGCCTCTCTTTCGGCTGACCCGCAGAATTCAGCGGATCAGGGGAAGGGAGAGAGGTGAACGATCCGCTGAATTCTGCGGGTCAGCCGAAAGAGAGGCTATACGAACGGTTATGATGGCTGATCACTACTTTTATGATTAGTTATTTGCTTTGGTTCATTATGTGGTCGTTTCCCCTTTTGATTGATTGTGGGAATGTAAGTGAGGCTGCAATGTTTAGATACTTGCAAACAAGACTTGTTCACGAAAGGATATCCACGTGTTAAAAGAAGAAAGAGAGAGAGAGAGAGAGAGAGAGAGAGAGAGAGAGAGAGAGAGAGAGAGAGAGAGAGAGAGAGAGAGAGAGAGAGAGAGAGAGAGAGGATGGCTGGGGAGAGGACAAGTCGCTTAGAACGCGTTCTTGAGTTTTGGTTGGTTCGTTCGTTGTTTTTATTTCGCGGTTAAGTACACGATAATTCTGGAAGATCCCGCCTTTGGTCATGGAGGAATGCGGTAGGCGAGGAGGTTGTCGGAAGACCCGTGAGAAGATGGACGAGAAGATTGACGGGGCGGATCGCGACCCATGACGAGAACTGGGGGAAAGGAAGAGGGGCAATGTGGCTTTTGTTGCTGGGTGTGGACTCGGTAGGACCGTATGTTGTGACGAAGTGAGCTCTTCCTGAGCTTCATTTCTCGTCCAGACAAATGAGGTCTGATCTGGAGAGGCATTGTTGAAAAATGAAGAAGAGCCAATCGTTGTCCGCTGTTGCGGGTGTTGAGGGATTCTGGCAAGGAGGCACCTGTCCCTCGTGAGTGTAACGAGCAAGCGTAGTTCGTGAGGTGAGAAAACGAGAGAGAGAGAGACATTGAAAGCATCGTTTGCTTCTGGTTGATCAAGACTGTCCGCTTGCGCGCGCGCGCGCGCGCGCGTGTGTGTGTGTGTGTGTGTGTGTGTGTGAGAGAGAGAGAGAGAGAGAGAGAGAGAGAGAGAGAGAGAGAGAGAGAGAGAGAGAGGTTCCACAAAAGAAAAACAAGAAAAACAAAAGAAAAACTTTGTGTGGGAATGTCATGGTGGGAGGGGATGGAGCGGTCGGTTGTGAGACTAGTTTGTGGGTTGCTGTTTGTTTTGGGTCCGTGACGTTGTGACGGATGGACGAGGAGTGCTTGTGTGTTGGGGGGAGGGGAGGAATGGATGAAGGAAGGAGGTTTTGAGAAGGTAGAAAGGAACTATTGAGTTGCTCCGTCATATGGAAAATGGCAGGTGCGATAAGGGTGAGCGAGTAAGGCCGTACTCACAGTAACTTTATTTTGAATGTATCTGGCTGCATGTACTGGCGAACCTGGATGCATCTGACCGCAATTACGCCCACAAATGAGTAAAGTCCTAGTTTGAGTATGCGTTAAATGGGGATGGGTGCATTGGGGAATTGCTTTTTTATTATCTTGATTTTGATTTTGATTTTGATTTTTGATTTTTTTGATTTTTTTAATGCAAAGCTCAAGTTTCAAACGTTGGGCAATTGCTGAGGATTATGATTCACCTTGTTTCTCCAAAAAAACGAAGGAAGAAAAAGGAGTGCTGAGGATGATGGCGACGAAGGTAATGATGATGTGGAGGATGGCAGAGCGGACCGAGACTCGAAAAATTGTGAGAATGAGAGCGTACTGACGGTCCTGGGTGTATCTGGCAACAATCAGGACTCCCAACGAATGTATCTGACCGCAATTACGGTCAGACCTGAGTTGAAAAAAGTCCCAGTGTGAGTATGCCCTTAAGGGAAGGAGAGGAGGCGAGCGAATGGGGAGCAGGAAGGGAGGCAGGAAAAAATAAAGTTAAAAAAAGAAAGACAAAGGGGAAAAAAACGAACAAACAAGAGTAGCACGCCGGCGATGGGAACCACGGGAACGTGGAAGACGCCATGATGACGAGGATAGCGAAATTGAGGGCGCACACAGTCGGACGGAATGTGGCCCTATATTTGACCGGATGCATCCTTGAAATGGACAGTCCGAGTGTGATGTTCAAGGGATAAGAATAGTTCTCGTTTTTTTTTTTTTTTTGGTTAAACAGGGACAACAAGTTAACAACCTTTTTTTTTTTTTTTTTTTTGTCCCCTGCAAAATAGCTTTTTTTTATATATATTTTTTAAACAAATTTAATATAGCAGGTCAAATCGAGGCCGGGGACCTCACAATTCAACCCGGAGTTATCCTGGCAGCATTAGCCAGTTTCGTGTATGAGCCACAATCTCGTTCAGCAATCACAGGAGAGCTCAGGGAAGTCTAGGAACAGAAGTGACCAAATCTAGGCCGCTTTTTAAGCCCGCTCTCAAAAACAAAACAAACAAACAAAAAAAAAAAACACCATCTAACACGCCAGGATGGACCTCGGAATGGACCACGACAGTGTAACGTACTCCCTCCGCCGACATGCCCAATTGCCATCCTCCTGCGGATCAAGAGAACCGAGTACCAGGTTCTTACTCAAACTACCCCACTTCTACTCTTCCCAAAACCACCTGTCCAAGACCAATTTCCCTTCTTCAAGCTTCGCCATTTTCCCACCTATGCCCCAAGTTTCCCCAAACCAAGCTCCTTGGCTCTTCCTTCTCCAATCGCTTGAATGATTCTTCTCAGGGTAGATTTGAATAGTACTCTGATTTCCTTGTTTGTCATTTCTCGGTCCTCAATATATCCGCAGGTTTCTTTCTTTCCATATGACGCTGCAACCTGCCGCTCTGGCTGCTTGAGCTATGTAGCCCCAGCCCTTTTTAAGATCCACGTGTTCAGGAACACCACCGAGGAGAACCCATTCCCGATCCCATGTCAGGTCGCCCCCCGCAGAGCAGACCCAAAAGGTCTGCCACCGACTCCATATTCTCTTGGGTGCTGGGCAGTCATACCATAAGTGAGTGGAGGACTCATATGCCCAACTGCAACGTTTGCAAGTCAATTCCACCTTCATTCCTCTTTGAAACAGGTTCACCGCCGAAGGAGTAGCAAGTAGAGATAAAAGCCAGAGATTCACCGCCAATCTGGGATATGGAGCGATCTTCAGTTGACCCCAGCAATGTATTAGTTTCCTCTCAATCTGTTCGGGGTTGCAATCCAAAACCTGTCTCCATCTGGCAACTGCAACTGACGCAGGCGTGCGTGAGGGCATCTGAGCCAAATATCCTTGTTCCACTGAGTAGAAAACCAAAGCCCGGTCTTCTCTATCCGAACCTTCCCCTCTCCCATCCCACATTTTTGGATCTAATTATAAGATCTGAAATGGCTGTTCCACCAATCCCACATTTTTGGATCTAATTATAAGATCTGAAATGGCTGTTCCACCAGCAAATAATCTGCATGTCCAGTTCCCATCATCATCACACACTTCCCAGACAAGAACTTGGGCCAGTTCGGCTGTTAAAGGTGGGTGAGAGGGACCTTCCTGTTGCAGAAGGATAGATGGCTTTTCAAGGCTACTACCCTTCCAGCACTGAAACGTATGTTTGCCGGA